CGTACTCTGGATAATTATGGGCAGCCACTAGTGAAATGCCATTAAGAAATATCATGATGTTGAAAAAATAGGCTAAGGGTGTACTATATACGATTCGCCGAATCATTTGGAATGGTGGAGACATGACGATTTTATAACATGCGGGCAACAATTTGATGAAGTTTTTCCGGCTCATTCGTATCTTCTCAAAATGCAGTTGCATGTATTCGGATAGGCGAGAAAACTGTGGTTCATCCAGGGCTCCCGATTTATCCTTATCCAGGACATGAAAGAGCATTACATTTGTGGAAATATCATGCCCCGGAAATGCTGCACTCATCAGGCGAATGAAGTCACTCAGGGGGATTACGTATATTCCACTTTCGTTTCCCGTGGCGACATGAGTAAAAGCTTCGTTAAGAAGCTTTTTTCGCCGAACGGCAGTATTGGTGACATAGTTTCCTAGGTGAGTCTTGTATGCATTGTACACAGTGGCTGTTATTATGCCCATAAATAGCCAATTACTGATTACGCATACAAGAATATAGATGCACATGCTTCGACGATCATTTTCATAAGCAGGGATTATAACATCAGGTGAATTGGCCGTGGTAGTCAGCACGTATAGATCCCAAATAATATCAAAATAGTCATTAAAGTATAGTGCTCCGTTTGAGTAAACCAGCTTTTTTCCAGTCACAAATTTGAGGGTAATTACGCCGAAAAACAAGATGCTTGCCGCAAATAGACCGAATACTGGTATTACGTCTAATGCCGTTCGGCAAAGGTTATAGAATGCCTCACGTAATCTTTTATTTTCCGGAAACGTTAAAAGCAGGATTGGTCGTAAAAACCTCGTTACTTGAAAAAAATGATAATTGCACAATTCCAAAACTGTGTAAACTATAAGATCGACACTGATCATCAGGAGAATGGCAATTGCTGCGATAAACGACTTACTAATCCATACTGGGCTTTTCTTCGAAATGATGTATATATGGATCCATCGGAAGTAAAAATATAATATGCAAAATATGTTGACGATTACTGGAATGTAGAAAGGAAGGGAATTTCCCTGTCTATCAGTTATTGAGGCAGGCTCCTCAATCAAAACGATTAATAGATGAAACCACGTGAATAGGCTACATAATGCAACCAAATACTCGTTGTTGTATAAATTGTATCTACGGATATTTTTTAAATCTCGTAAGTAATTAATTTCTAATCGGGCTTTGATAGCATCTCTAACAAGCGTCGAGGCAATTGCGAACTCTTCGCCTCTATCTTGAGATGAAAACTCCATTTATTAAATAAGAACTAAGTTGGTTATATCAAGGGAACAAAAATAAGTCGCAT